ACTTTATTATGTTTTTTTTTTTCAATTTGTAATTATGCTTTTTGGATTGCTGCCGTCTTGTAATATTGCGGTTTTTTTTCATTTTATTTATTGAAAATGCAGTCTTTTCAGCAATATGCTGCCCTCTATTTTTGTATGTTTTTTTTTTACCCTCATTAAACATTTTCTTGATTTACTTTTGTATGTCATATTTAGCCAATGAGTAGGCTCCTGCTACTCTAAATATTTTTTTTGTTATCCGTCATATTTAAATTTGAATTTTATTCTGGATCAAGTCATCGAACTCATTCCAATCTTGATAGGATTCAAATGCGTTTTTGTTTATTATGCTAATACGCAGTCACGTATTATGAATACGGTTGTGTCGCTGTTTCTTAATACCAATTCAGGGCACAGTTCAGATGACGAAAATCCACTGATTAAGTTGGTGTCCTAATTTGCATACAGTATTCGCTGTGAGGTCCTATGAAATGTTTCATTATCTCGTCTATTTACTTACATCCTATGAGACGAGTGTTATCATTCCTTTATAACGAACGTCAAAGTCATGCAATTTTAATTCTGTACGTTATCGTTAGTTAAAAGTATAACATCAACATTATGGTTCTAACGAAAGGCAACGTATTTGCTCTCGGCAATATTTTCATCTTATCGGTAATTTCCCTCTCGTATTGTGGTAGGTGTATATTATTTTCTTATACTATTATGTTAACATAATATGGTATATATATAACATATTATGGTAATTAAACTTAATCTCAACAAAGTTCGTTGTTATTGCCAATAAAATTGTGTTTATTATGATCAGGGTTACTATTATTATGCTATAACCAAATATTTATGATTATTATTATCATCATTATTTTATCTTAATTATTTTATATTGTATTATATATTTTCATTATTATGTATTGTTATTGATATTTGTTTATTATTGCACGGTAATTATTTGTGTTGTTATTGTAAGTCATCAGTCCTAAGATAGGTTTTAGTATAAAACAGACCTTCAGCAAATGAAATATGTCGCCGCAGATATGTTGCATGGTGTGCATTCTGAAAGCTATTGCATGAAGATGGTTATTATATGACTTTAGTCATCACCAAGTAACTTGTATAATATCTTTATAAGCATGGGGAGATCCAAAAATGGGAAACCGGATAGTGCATGATTGCAGGATGGTAAGTTCGTCTCCGACTTGATACATTTTGTAGCAAATTCATAATTGATTTGATGTGTGTGTTTTGTAGACAGATGCCCAAATTCGTGGGATCCATTCCAAATGAGTTGTTATAAAGTGTTTGCACAGACAGTAAATTGGACTGATGCGCTGTCAAACTGTGAATCGGAGGGAGCAAGTTTGTTGGCGATATCATCAGAAGAAGAAAGAAACTTTGTTCGTGATCTCCGCTACCAAAAATACGGTTATTGTATGAATACTTGGATTGGTTTCAATGACAGAGAGAATCAAGGTGTGTGGAAATGGACGACTAACAGTGCGACACAGTACACAGGTTAGGAATACAAAGTATTGTATTTATCTCATAATTACCATGATCGAAACGTAATGTGTTGTTTTTAATAGTCATATGATAGATATTAAATTTCAAATTCAACTGAAAGGATTTTCAAATGAATGGATTCTATCAGTAACAACATTATACTTGTATTGCATAATTGCGAGTCTCTAAAAGTAGAGATGTGTATAAGAGACAGGAATAGGGGTGTCCCAAAGGAGGGATTC